AGAGGTTGTGGTGTGCCAAGATCGTGCCATTGCACTCCAGCCAGGGCAACAAGAGCAAAACTCCATCTCAAAAAAAAAACAAAAAAACATTCTTAGGCCATACAAAAATAACCCACTGGCTAGATTTGGCCCATGGGCCATAGTTTACCAAGCCCTGATATAAAGACAGACTACCTATATATCATTGAAAATGAATGAACTATAGCTACTTAAAACCCTATAGAAGAATCTTACAAACATAATATTGAGCTAAAGAAGCAAGATACAAATGTATACAAATACAAAAAAAAAAACACATATGCAAAAACATCATAAAAATCACAAAAATATAATTCCATTGATATAAAACAAGTGCAGTGAAACTATGGGGCTTAGGAATGCATAAATGGACCTTAAAATCACGAAGAAAAGCAAGAAGACAGTTACCATACAAATCACAATTATGAATACTACTGGGTCAGGGAAGGGATTGGAATCTAAAATGGACCTCTGGGGCGCTAGAGACATTCTATTTCTTGATCTGAACAATGGCAATATAGGTGTTTGGTTTATAATTATGTAGCTTATATATTTGTGTTTATTATTTCTCAAATCGTATGTTTATATTTTATGCATTTTTCTTTGTGTGTCATATTTGAATGTGTCATCAGTTGAAGCTTACAAAGACAATGGTACAGATGCAGCCTCGTTGTCTGGGATAACACCCAAGTTTCTCTGTCCCACAACCATGGAGGTCAAGGACAGGGACATACAAAGGGTGAGGTTAGAGCAGAAGTTTAACAGGTGAAAGGAAAGAACAGCTCTCTGCTACAGAGAGGGGTCTCAAACAGGTTGCTGTACTGCAGTAAAATGTAAGGGTTTTTATAGGTAAGCTAGTAGGGAGGGGGTAGCTTATTTACATAGGGCACGAAAAACCAGTTAGGACCAGGTGTGCCATCTGCATAAAGTGAAATCTCTGGCAGCCCACTCTTTTATCATGCAGGCCCGTTCTTACCTTGAGCTACTCCATGTTGCTTATCTCCTTCCCACACCTTTTTAGCACACTGAGCATGTGCCAAAAAGGGGAGGGGGAGTTTCTGTGCCTGGTTCCAGGTACCTCCTTAAAGCTGTAGGCATCCCCCACCATGCAAGCTTCCAACTTTCCTTAGTGTGCCCAAAATGGGAAAGGAATGTGCTCATTAAGGCCCACTGTTTTTACTGTGATCCATCATATGTATGTGAAGTTTGGCGATTACCCAGGAAGCTCTCCCTTTATGCCAGACTTGTTTATCTATGTTTTATAGCCCAATCTTCTAGGCTGGTCTTTGTTGAAGAGAAGTGATTTCTTTGAACTGCCAAGTGGTTAGAAAAGAAGTAATTTCTCAAGCTGTTTTTGTTAGAAGAAAAGTTTTGCCAGGGACTCTTTTGCCCTAATTATCTACCTAAATAATTTCCTTTTATCTCCTGTATCAGTACAGAAAAGAGTTAAAAAAGAAACCACGGGGCAGAAAATATACTGCTCAAATACCATGAGAGAGGGTACGAATGAGAGAGGGTGATACCCCAAGAATGGTGGGAGGCTGGTAATGACCAAATGTATGGACAGCAAAGGCAGAGGGGCTGTTGAAACTAGGAAGGGAAGCCTGATTAGAAGCAGCAGCATTCAGTGAAAAGAGGGCTGCCCAATTCTCGTCCCTATGGGAGCTGGGGCTGCCACAGGTTCCACTGGGCACAGACACTGGAGGGGCTAGAAGGGCCATCCACAGAGGAAGAACAGAGCAGGATGGAACAGGTATAAAGGGTGGGAGATAATCAGTTTGTACCCTCAGTGATGCCGCACCCCTCAGACACTCTTTCACAGGCACAAGAAAGCAGACGGGAGCTGTGTACAAAGGGGAGGGAAGAAGAGATTTTTTTAAAATAGATATTGTTGGCCAGGTGTGCTGCCTCACACCTGTAATCCCAGCACTTCAGGAGGCTGAGGTGGGTGGATCACATTGAGGTCAAGGGTTTGAGACCAGCCTGACCAACATGGTGAAACCCCATCTCTATTCAAAAAAATGCAAAAGTAGCCAGGCATAGTGGTGCATGCCTGTAATCCCAGCTACTTGGGAGGCTGAGGCAGGAGAATCACTTGAACCCTGGAGACAGAGATTTCAGTGAGCCAAGATTGTGTCATTTCACTCCAGCCTGGGCGAGACAGAGTGAGACTAGACTCCATCTCGGAAAAAAAAAAGAAAAAATAGATATTGCTGGACCGGGTGTGGTAGCTCACGCCTGTAATCCTAGCATTTTGAAGGAAGGATCATTTGAGCCAAAGAGTTTGAGACCAACCTTGGCAACCAAGTGAGACCCTATCTCCATTGTTTTAAAAAGGGCATTGTTTATGTCTCTGTGTTACAGATCAAGAAATTAAGAATCAAGGAAGTTAATAGATGTGTCCAAGTTCACAGATCAGTAATTAGTAAAGATGGAATGGGACCTAGGTTTGTCAGCCGGGGTTCTCTAGAAAAACAGAACCAATTAAATATATGTAGATTAGCTATTGGTGTATATATACACACAGAGAGAGAGAGAGAGAAAGAGAGAGAGAGAGAGAGAGAGAGAGAGAGCGAGCGGGAGAAATTGATTTATTCCAAGCATGACGTAGAAATCTGCCTCAAGAATTACGGCCAAAGATTTTCTTTTCCCTTAGAACCTCTCCCCTTTCCTGTCTGACTTAAACTTAATTAGTTTGTTCCTGAATTTGCCTGGAAGCCCAGCTACCCCAACTAATGAGGACCTTTCACTCTTCCTGTATCTGGGAGAAAAAAAAGAAAAGCCTGATAAAATCCAGTTTGCTTCGCAGGGAAGAAACCCCAGTGTCCCTGAGGCCTGGAGATGCACAATCTCTACGCTTGCACTCCCATCCCACTCCAGAGCAATCGTGACTTGCTGGAAGGGTCTCAGAAACTTCTGTGCTATCACTTTGCTTTTCTCTCTCCAAAATTATTACATATTACCATGACGCAATAGAAAGCATGTGGACTTTGCAGTGCAACAGATCTGGCTTGAATCCTGGCCCTGACCTTTTTTCAATCCTATATTTCTTTGACTTTAAAATGGGATAATAATTCTTATCTCATCTCATGAGGTGGTTGTGATAATTAGGTAATATGTGATAGTTCTTTAGGTGAAACTATCTAACAGGCATGGGACTACAGGTGTGAGCCACTGTGCCTTGCCTAGTTTTGCCTTTTCTGTTAAGGACTTGAATATACTTGGAATTGATTTCTGTTTAACCCACATGGATAGCTAATTGTCCCAGTAGCACTTATTTAAAAACCATTCTTCCCATTGCCCTTCAGTGCTGCCTCTATCATGTATCAAACGTTCATATAATGCAAAGTTCTCTTTCTAGACTCTATTGTATTGGTCTGTTTGTTGATCTATGTATCAATCCATTCTGGTTTAAAATATTATACCTTTATAACAAGTCTTGACATTTGACAGTGCCCGTCCTACATTTTTCTACTTTTTCTTCCTCTTCCTTCTTTTTTCTTCTTCTTCCTTTGGTATTAGTTATGTGATAAGTTAGTCAGATGATACGTGATAGCTAGGTGAAATAATTTATATAAAGCTACTACACTGGTCCTGGTACATAGTTCTCACCTCCACCAGCATCAACACTTTCCACCTCAGGTTTCAGAGCAGTGATACAAACACAGCTCACTGCAGCCTTGACCTCCTGGGATCAAGCAATCCTCCCTCCCAAGCCTCCCAAGTAGCTGAGACTATAAGCATGAGCCACCATGCCCAGCTAATTTTTGTATTTTTTTCTAGGGATGGGGTTTTGCTATGTTGCCCACACTGGTCTTGAACTCCTGGCTCAAGTGATCCACCCACCTTGGCCTCTGAAGGTGCTAGGATTACCAGCATAAGCCACTGCCCCCAGCCAATTCTTAAATAACACAGCTGCCATAAGCCACTTTTCTCTGACCATTAACCATACCAACAGGGGCTGCTTGTCACCTTGGTCAGGTCAGGGAGGAGGACCTGGACTGATCATGTTTTGATCAATTGCCCCAAAATAACTCCTCCATGTCTTCCAGATCACTTTGCAGTCCACACAGCTCAGGGGCCATTAGGGCTGGCTGGAGTGTCTAATATTGATGAGGAACACTGTCAGCACAACTTGGCTCTGCTTCCTAGGCATCAGTCCATCAGGAAAATAGACGGATCCCGCTGGCAAATGCATTTGCTCCAGTCCTGGGCCATTCAAAGGATGCCTAATGGATGGTGGCATGGAAGGATTTGGCATCTCTCCCTCTTTTCTGTCTCCTTTCTGTCCTCATCTTCCATCTCCATCCTTCCCCTTCTCTATCCCTACTTTACTTTTTTGTGTCCCCCCAACACACACACCTATTCTTACCCTATTTCTTTATATCTTCCCCTCTTTATTTCTTTCTCATTGTCCCTGTACTCTTTTATCCTGTGCCCACCTTCTTTCCCTACTAGCTATTTTTTTAATCTTTGTGTAATTTCACTTCTCTTAGCATCATTTTGTGCATTTTCCCTGTCTTTAACATACTTTGAAAAGCATCTCTTTCAGTGGGTATGTCATCATAAAGCTGTATCAGAATTTACCTAACCATCTCCCTATCTTTGAAAAGCATGGTGTTTCTAATTTTTTCCCTATTAGAGATGGTAATGCCATAACAGACATAAATGGAAATGTGTAGAAATGGAAGGTTTTTTACATTGAGTTAGTGATTTAAGAGCATGGGCTCTGGAGCCAGATCAGCTAGGTTTGAATCTCAGTTCTGCCACTGACTAGCTGTGTAATCCAGGTAAATGATTAAACTGTCATGGCTTCAATTTCCACATTATAAATGGGGGGGGGATTGCTTTTATTATTATTTTAATCGACATTTAACAATTATACATATTTATGAGATACAATGTGATATTTTGATACATGTATATAATGTATAATGATCAAATTAGGATAATTAGCATATTCATCATCTCAAACATTTATTCTTTGTGCTGGTAACATTTAAAATCTGCTCTTCTTGCTATTTGAAAACATACAACAAATTGTTGTTAATCATAGTCACCCTACAGTGCTATAGAAAGCTAGAGCTTATTCCTCATATCTAGCAGTAAACTTGTATACATTCACCAACCTCTGAGTATTGTACCCATCCTCCTACTCTTCCCCAGCTTTCATAACCACTATTCTACTCTACTTCTGAAATCCACTTTCTTAGCATCCACATATGAGTGGGGAAGTGCAGCATTTCTTTTTCCGTTCTTGGCTTATGGAAATGGAGATATTAATAGTAACTTACCTCATAAGAATTTCGTAAGGTTATATGCTATAATAAATGTAAAGCACTCAGAACAGTGCCTGGTATTTAGTAAGCCCTCAAAAGGTATTAGCTATTATTTGTAATATTATTTGAGGAAGGACATAAAATGAGGCTTAGAACAATTGACATTGCAAGCAAGTTGTTTGTTTGTTTGTTTGTTTGTTGAGACATGCCTTGACCTTGGCAGACATAACTATTCGATTACCACACTTTTCCCATAGAGCCCAGATATAGCCCCACAATCCCATTCATCTCTCCAAGCTTCCATTACTATTTAGCCTGAGTTAAGGTAAGGGATGGGCTTCTTCACATTCTTGTTCAAGAGCAGTGGTTCTCAACCCTGGTACACGTTAGAACTGAGGCAGGAGAATAGAGTCTGGAGGCAGGTAACATAAGGCTGATTCACGCTGACTTCTTAGAACTAAATCAAATGGAAACACTTCAGCTATGACAGAAAATATCCTCTCCATTTACTTAGGGCACACACCAAGTAAATAACTTTGTAGGCTGGGCATGGTAGGTCACATCTGTAATCTCAGCACTTTGGGAAGCTGAGGGTGGGCAGATCACCTGAGGTTGGGAGTTTGAGACCAGCCTGATAAACATGGAGAAACCTCATCTCTACAAAATATATAAAATTAGCCTAGCGTGGTGGCGCATGCCTGTAATCCCAGCTACTCAAGAGGCTAAGGTAGAAGAATTGCTTGAACCTGGGGACAGCAGTTGTGGTAAGCCAAGATTATGCCATTGCACTCCAGCCTGAGCAACAAGAGTGAAACTCATCTCAAAAAAAAAAAAAAAAAAAAGAAAAGAAAGACTTTGTAACTTTATCTTCATCACTTACATTGGGCATACATCAAGTAACCAATAGAAACCACTAGAGGTTATTTAAACCTCAGAAAATTCTGTAACGGGGCTCTTGAGCTGCTATGCTCAGGCCTGCTCCCACCCTGAGGGCTGTATTTTCATTTTCAATAAATCTCGGCTTTTGTTGCTTCATTCTTTCCTTGCTTTGTGCATTTTGTCCAATTCTTTGTTCAACATGCCAAAAACCTGAATACCCTTCACTGGTAACATATTTTGGTGAGCCAGCCAGGAGGTAAGCCTAAAATATAGGATTTATTTTTCACCTTTTCCTTTCTCTTCCATATAGGGAAATCTCACCCCCTCTCTTTTTCTTTCCAACTCAGGACTCTTGGTGGGCAGCACATAAACACGGAACCACCCTACAGGTTTCTGGCTATGGCTAGTGAAACTAAGGGGTTTCTATGTGGAGGTGCCTAACCACCACTGCCTGGTTCACTTAAGGGACCTGGGTCTTTTTCCTTTTTCTCCTTTTCTTTCCTTTTCAGTCTTTCATAGCTGTTTACTAGCAGCTCCCTGGAAATTGAAGGCAACTGGCTGGGCAACTCCCCATTGTTGCCTGGAGGCCAAGGAGTGAATGAGAATAGTTGCCCTATCTGGAATGGGGAAGGACTCTTTTCTGACTTTGCTGGTTGTAGTCCCTTATTCCTACATGTGGCACAGCTTCGAGTAAACCCACATATGTTTCAGGCAACTTAAACCTTCTTGTCTTATGCTAAATTCTTCCCTTCCCACACTCTACTTGCTGAGGACAAAAGAGGTCCACCCAGCCTCCAGTTCCTATTATTACAGTTCATGGCTATCACTCTAGTGGAAAGGGAAGCATTGGGAAGCATGGGCTTACAAAGCTCATAGTAGGCCATTGCCTATGAAAAGAAAACATGCAAAGCGTCACCAATAGCCACCCAAGGTCAAAGATGTCTGACATGCTAAAATTGGACCCCAAAGGGGAATTCCGTGGGGGATCCTCCAGACCTCTACCTCTCCAAAGGAGATACCCTCGGCAGAGTTTCTGAAGTCTCGTACTAAACTCTCCTTAGAATGTTCCCTCACAGTTTGGCCCCAATATTGTTTGAAATCTGGAGTTTACTATGAATGGGAAAGTGGGATGGTGTTGCACATATCCAGGCTTTTGTTCTGCTGTTCTAAGCAGAAGGGCTGGTTAATGTGTGATGTGCACCTTTGATGCTGTTTGGCCCCAGTTTTCTTTGGACTCTGGGGAGGTTTGGTCTTTAAAAATTAAACTTCCATGGAAACTGCTTTACCTAAAATTTTGGTTCACAGCCCTCATAGGATTATCTATTGGGGCAAACAAACAAAAACCAGCAAGCTTGTATTGCTATCTCATGGCTAGGGTGCCAAGCTATTGGATCTTTATTTGTGTGTGTGTATGCACGTCTAGATGTGTTTATTCGTATCTATGCTTATTGTTATATGTGTTGTCTATCAAACTAGCTTGTGAGTAAAAGAGTGCTCATAAATTACATAAATAAGTCTAAGCAATTTTCAAGTTCATGTGACTTAAGTATAACTTTACTAAATAAGCTGGCTTTAAAATTACTAATAAAATAAAAATAGAAATAACTTCAGAACTGTCAGCATACAGTTTTGTCTGAATTTTAGATCTGGCTCTGCTAGATATTTTGAGATGTTAGTGTTTGGCAGAGGTTATAAAATGATAAACCCAGCCAAAACAAAATAATCTTGGTTTGTGTGCCTTTTTTTGACAAATTAGAGTGATTTAATGCTAGCTAAATCTTCTGAGTTACTGAGAAAAATACTTGTGTATTTAACTTTGAGGCTCTTAGGTTTAAGTAAGTACCTGATGTTTACTGCTATTAAAATCATGGTTAACAAGGAAATAACTAACTTTAAATGATAGTGTCTAACATCTCAGTTTAGAGAAGTAATCCAGATAAACTGTTAAAAGTGAAAGAATTGAATACAGTGAATGGAATAAATGTTTTAGGTAAATTTTAATGTAAATTAAAATCTTAAAATTATTTTTGGTGCTCATTGAGTATCTGAGTCATTTCCAGTTAAGAAAGGTTGTGATATGGGGAAATATATTTCTAAAATTTATAGAATTGTTATCTATAAACATCCATATGTGATAGTTCTAGGATTTCTTGCTTTTTAGGGTTTCACTAAAGTATTAGGTTACTAAGGATAAGAATTCTAGTTAACACATAATTCTGTACACAAAATGTGCCAAAAGCATTTTGTTATTAGTGAGAAAAAGAATAATTTTGTCTAATTCAGAAGTTATCTAAAAGTTCAAATTATAGATTTGAAAAGGTTATTTATAAAAAATGTAGTAAGGAACCAGTAAGTAGGGGAGAAAGATGTGGAAAATATTTAGATAATATTCTTTAAAACCTGATAGAGAATGAGAGACACTTGGCTAATTAACATTTTCATAGTTAATGCTCTTAGTCTTCATTAAAATAACATAAGAAGTATTATAAAGAAATGCATCAGCAGTTTGGCAAGTCTTTTTTAATACAGTTAAACATGAAGCCGTATTTAGTGTGGTGAGCCAAATTTCACATATATGCCTGCATTGCTTCACACTATGTTTACTGTTTTGTATGGATAGTGCTGGCACTGTAGAACTGTATTAGTCCATTTTCTTTTTTTTTTTTTTCTTTGAGACAGAGTCTCACTCTGTCTCCCAGGCTCGAGTGCAGTGGAGCATTGAAACTTCTGCCTACTGGGTTCAAGCGATTCTCCTGCCTCAGCCTCCTGAGTAGTTGGCATTACAGGCATGTGCCACCATGCCTGGCTAATTTTTGTATTTTTGGGTTTGGTTTTTTTTGTTGTTTTTGAGACAAGAATCTCACTCTGTTGCCCAAACTGGTGAGCAGTGGCACAGTCTCAGCTCACTGCAACCTTCGTCTCCCAGATGGAAGCAATTCTCCTGCCTCAGCCTCCTGAGTAGCTGGGTTTACAGGCCCACACCACCATGCCTGGCTAATTTTCTTTTCAAATTTTTAGGAGAGATGAGGTTTCACCATGTTGGTCAGGCTGGTCTCAAACTCCAGACTTTTTGATCTGCCCACTTCAGTCTCCCAAAGTGTTGGGATTACAGGCATCAGTCACCACTTCCAGCCATATTAGTCCATTTTCATGCTACTGATAAAGACATACCCAAAACTGGAAAGAAAAAGAGGTTTAATCCCACATGGCTGGGGAGGCCTCAAAATTATGGCAGGAGGCATAAAACACTTCTTACATGGAAACAGCAAAAGAAAAAATTAGAAAGATGCAAAAGCGAAAACCCCTGATAAACCCATCAGATCTTGTGAGACTTATTCATGCCCCATGATTCAAATTATCTCCCAGTGGATCCCTACCTCAACACATGGGAATTATGGGAGTACAATTAAAGATGAGACTTGGTTGGGGACACAGATCCAAACCATATCAAGAACTTATTAGTCAAGTGCCTAGAGTGAATTTCTTGATTGCACAGGATGTATGATGATATTGACAAACTTAAGGATGTTGAATTGTGTATCAGGAATAACATATTCATTAGGTCAGTTTTTGGGGGCCCTGAGTAATACTGTACCCTCCAGGGTAGACTGGGTAGAAAAAAATTAGAGTTGGTTTCCAGTTTGTTTTTGCTTCTAGTTTTCACTTGTTTGCTATTTATTCTCCTCTGATTTTGCTTGTGTATGTGTATATAAAATCATAAGTTTTTTTAAGTTTCTAGTGGAAAGCTTTTATTTGGTTCTATGAATACATATGTTGTTTCCTACGCATTTCTAGCAAGTTATCATTTGTTCCATTTACATAGAATTCCTAGGCTACCTTTGTTAGGCCTGCAAGAATTAATGAAGCACACCAGCTTTTTAACCTTAAACTAACTTTTTAGATTTTAGTCTTCCTGATTCTTTAAGTGTGTTAACTATACTTTCATAGACAGATTTTTGAGTCATATTTTTCTCTAAAGTTTGAAAACTCTTTGTGAATATTCTTTTTTTTTTTTTTTTTTTTTTTATTTATTTTGAGATGGAGTTTCGCTCTTGTTGCCCAGGCTGGAGTGCAATGGCGCGATCTCGGCTCACCGCAACCTCCGCCTCCTGGGTTCAGGCAATTCTCCTGCCTCAGCCTCCTGAGTAGCTGGGATTACAGGCACGCGCCACCATGCCCAGCTAATTTTTTGTATTTTTAGTAGAGACGGGGTTTCACCGTGTTGACCAGGATGGTCTCGATCTCTTGACCTTGTGATCCACCCGCCTCGGCCTCCCAAAGTGCTGGGATTACAGGCTTGAGCCACCGCGCCCGGCTGTGAATATTCTTAATTCATGACAATTTATTTGTTTGCATACAGTCAAGCAGCGTCGCTAGGGCTGCTCAGAGAGAGGGAACCCAGAAACCTGACATGACAGCAAAAAGGTAAAAATTTATTAACAGTCAGACTCTGGCCTCTCCCTCTCTCTCTGTGCAAATTGGTGAAATGAATGGTAAAAGTCACTGTTTATCTCCTCTGTAAGGTTTTAATTAGTACAAAAAAGAATTCTGAGGCTGGTCTTAAGCTGTAGAGAATCTCGCGCTTTATGTGTTTTTCTGTATTGTTCTGCCATAAAGAGGGATACCTTAGGATAAAATGCATGCCTAGGGCCCCATAGGCCTGCTGTTCAAGATGGCTCAGCAAACTGGTCAGTCATGTCCTTAGGAGCTTGACCTTGTAACCATGTTTTCTCTTTTCACAATGGTAGCCCAGAGTTAGTGTTAAATTCCTGGCTTAGGAAATGAGTTTATTATCTTCCGTCTGTCTCTGTATTTATATGTGTTGTGTGTAATATAAAAGAGCTTTAATTAATTGGTTTAATAATAAGACCTTAAACCAAATATTTGGTGAGAAAAGTAAAAAGTGTAATGCCATTTGTTTATTTCATGTGACTTAAGTGATCTTTGGGAAATAAAGACAGTTTTAAAGATTATTGGTAAAATAAAAATATCTTTAAAAATGTAAACATTTGGCCTAATTATACAGGTCAGATAATAGATTTGCTAACTGCTTTAAGGTCATAAACAGCTTCTTTGACTTTTAAAAGTTGTTCTACTTATTTTGGAGTATTAGACTCTAGATAAGGTCTAGAAATGTGAAATTAGACATGTTCCCTAGCTATGCATAGAGGGTTATAAAGAAAAAAGATTTTATACAAGAAAGTATCTTATATGTTAAATTCTTGTCCTAAAGTAAAATAACTGGTTGTTTAAAAGAGGGATATTTAGAACAAGTCAGAAAGTCCACACATGGTTTCTGTAAGTCATAAAAGAATTTGTGAAAGATAATTTATGCAATAAATGTACAATTTAAAGGTGATTAGGCCTACTAAATGCCTCATAAAATGCCACTATGGGCTGGGTGTTGTGGCTCACACCTGTAACCCCGGCACTTTGGGAGGCCGAGGCAGGCTGATCACCTGAGGTCAGGAGTTTGAGACCAGCCTAACCAACATGGAGAAACCCCATCTGTACTAAAAATACAAAATTAGTCAGCTGTGTTGGCGCATGCCTGTAATCCCAGCTACTCGGGAGGCTGACACAGGAGAATGACTTGAATCCGGGAGGCAAAGGTTGCAGTGGGCCAAGATCACGCCATTGCACTCCAGTCTGGGCAGCAAGAGTGAAACTCCATCTCAAAAAAAAAAAAAAATGCCACTATGGCTCTTAACTGTACAACCTGCCTAGTTTACAACTAGGTAAAACCTGAGACATATGGAGTTAGATGCTGAAAAGAGTCAGGCCTAATCTGCACTTCTGCCTGGGTCCTAGGCTCCACATCTAGTACATAATTAAAATCCCAAACTTAGCAAGGTTTTCACCAAAAGTAGCAGTCACTAAGAGTTAACATTGTTACATGCAATTGAGACTACCAAAGAAACAGTTTTACATACAAGATATGTAAGAAAAGTGAAAAAAAGTTTAATCTTCTTCCGGTTATATTTTAGTGAATATTAAAAGATGTTGAAAAATTGTATGGAATTTCTATCATTCTAATATGTTTGACTACATACTATCAATCATAATTATGGTTATTATATTATTATAAACCACAGAAATAACCAAATTTCCTTGTATAAAGCTTCTAACTCAAGTAGAACAAAAAATTGAATACCAAGAAAAGACTTTGTCAGATTTTTATATTAAACCATCTGATATTGAAATTGTTTAGATTTACAATTCGAATGAACTCCACAGTCTAAGTCAGATTACTTATGATAACCCATAAATTATCAATGCTATGCACCTCATTTGGAGAAACAACTGGTATTCAAGAGGATATAAATCTAATACAGGTATTGATCGACTTACCACCTATGCAACTTATGACCATTCGACTTTACGACCACAATCGCTAGCCACGACTGCTCCGCGTCTGGCAGCACAAACGTTGCCCAGCTGGGCGTACGACAGTGCGGACCAGCTACGGCAGCACTACCATCTCCGCGTGCACCATTTCAACTGTACATATAGCCTACTCAACTTATGACCAAATCGTGTTATGACCGGTCCACAGTCCTGACCGTGGTCGTAAGTCGAGCACTAGCTGTATTAATTAAGCATGGGCTCATGGAGAACCAGAATGGCCACCTAGTCCTTCCTGTGTTCTTAAAGCTTTTCTTATTAAAAGTTCTGCATTCCATGACTTGTCATGGAAAAGATAAAATAATCCAAATTGAATGTATAGGTGTGGTGACTTATAAATTGCTAAAATAGCTTATAATCAATGTTTGGTCCCATATTCCTGAGAAAACAATCAAAGCTTCAGGTACATTTGGTTACGTGATGGGCCATTTAAACATTTTATAAAGGGATTTCATTCCATTGTTATTTTAAATGCAAGTTTTCTGGTTGTATGAAAGCTTTTGTGGACCACATGCTCTCTACTAAAAATGGTGGCACATGCCTGTAGTCCAGCTACTCATGAGGCTGAGGCAGGAGAATTCCTTGAACTCAGATGGCAGAGACTGCAGTGAGCAGAAATAGCACCACTGCACTCCAGCCTTGGTGACAAAGTGAAACTCCATCTCAGAAAAAAAAAAAAAAAAAGCAAGAGGGCTGATGTTGTTATAACAGTAGACTATTATGCTACAGTGTATTTTCATGAGGTAAAGAAAGCTTTTCATGGTTCACTGACTGAGGACAATCAACCCCCTCACTATCTAGAACCTGAATATTGGATTTTCTGAGAACAGCAAAGAAAGACTGTCTTTGCCATCCACACTACAGCAAAACTTCAGGACCTTGAACTTTGGCTTTATAATCTCACAACTGAGAAGGATCCCTCCACATTCTTGGGACTGTACCCCATTGGAACCCTTAAGTTTTACCCTTAAGGTAAAACTAACCACGAAATTTGCTCCCCAGAAGAAGATGGCATCCTTGATGTGAACAGCTTTACCCAAGATCATGGACCAAGACTTCTCTACTATCATGAAACTCTGAATATTTTTTCCCTTGTTTATGCATCTATAAACAATAGAACTGGAAAGGGGGTCTACTATGTGTATTTATCAGGTATACTCTTATTTGTGAAGGAGTTTGCAGTCAGTTTTGTACATGGATTACCTTATACCTCGATAGATAAAAAACGAAGGCCCAGTGTAGGTGAGAAACTTTAATGGTTCATACATTGGCCCATAGTCAGTCAGAAACAGAACACTGGTTCAGTCCTCTTAACCCAAATCATGGGTTAAACAGAACAATGCCAGGAGGGCTTTACTCTTCTAGAAGGGTATCATTTGTTAGGTTCTTTTCCATGGTTTAGAGTAAAAGAAGCAATGATTACAAATGCATCCCTTATGATAAGCTCTATAGCAGATTCTACTTATGTTATGCAACAGACTAAATTCTCTTGTGAAGGTTATGATAGAATTGGCTGAACAGAGGAGTATCTGTGCAGCTGCTGACACTTACGGCCTATGGA